GGAATACAAAGTTATGATAAAAACACTGAAGGAATGTGCAACTGCCTGTTTAAAACAAGAAATTCCGTTACATAATCCGTTAAAACAACAAATTCCGTTAGTTTTTCCGTTAAACCAACAAATTCCGTTAAATAGGCATTTTTTATATATAGAAAGATGTTATTATATAGAATAATGTTATTCATTTTCATTGGGGTTGAACACAAGTCTAGATTGCAAACACTTTATAGATTCAACTAAAAGAGTCATGTGATTTTACATTTAAATAAATCTATTATTTAATACTATATGATCGTCATCTAGACTGGTGTTCAACCACGATGGGATGGATATCATTATATAGCTAAAAACAAGTCTGTAACACCTCGAATTTTCTTACTATTTTCATAAGGGCCTAAACTTAATATTGGTCATTTAGTAAATGATATAGCCAATGTCTAGACTCGACATCACACTAAGTCCAAAAGTTAAAAAGATAAACTTAATACACTAAAGTCCAAAAGTTAAAAATGATTTATTACTTTTGTGTGTGTGTGTATTAATTTATCGCGAATATTTAAGTATCATAAAAGTTGATAAAATATATCAAATATTATACACATTTTGTAACTTGTGTTAAATAACATAAATTGGACTCAAGAAAAAGTTAAAAATTACAATTAAAAAAAAAAAAAAAACATGTACAATCACCCATTTTACATTTAAGTCGTAGACGTTTGACTGATTGATTGATGCAATAAATTGATTTATTTAACCCTTGAATTCTTCGCAATTATGATTGAGACGGTTTGTTTGTGTGTTTAATGAATATTACGTTTTAAAAATGCTTAATGTACAGTCAAAATTGTACAGTAATTTTAGCAGCCCTCTCTCATGGGGCCCACGATTATTTTAATAGTGAACCTCACCAAATGTATGTGAGAGGACTGTCAAAATTAATGTCAAAATTGTTGTAACTCTAGCATTGTTCATTACGTTTATGTATATATAATTATGATAGAATTTTCACTTTTAAAATTTACACTTCATTCTTTGCAATTTCACTTCACACGTACGCTATTGAGAAATTACACAACTTCATTATTTGCATTCTAAGATTTCTTTGAGTATCAACTAAGGTAAGAATACTTTGTGCAAGTGGTAAATTCTTATTTTTTAATATTTATATAAATTTTGGCATGAAATACTATAAGGCATTCGGGGTCGATTTCTATGTTAAATCATTCGGATAGATCGTTTGGTCAAATATGTAAACTTACGAGATATATGAATTCTTAAGAAATTTTTTGAGATATTGGACATTCAAACCAATTTGCTCTAAATCTAAGATTTTTTGTATGTTATGTCATTTTATATTTATATCATGTTAAATAAGAATACGCGTGTATTTTTACCGACTATTTTTCAAAATACTCAATCTTAC